ATCCCCCAACTCTCCAACTTCAGTTCTACTCGTAATTGATGTGCAGTCGTGATCCTTGCAAACGATAGGGCGTGCGCCATTACTCGCATCCACGCCGCGTCACCGCCATGTTGCTGACTGAGATCATAACTAAAGAAGCCACCGTTTTTGTGCTCGGTTGCTCCGCGATGAAGTTGCCAACCGTGGAGAGTGGGAAGGCAGTGTTAACCTGGGCGAAAGCCCATTCAAATTCAACCCGAGCCCGGAGAGTACACGCTCCTTTTATTCTTGCTGGATCCAGTCCATACCAGGTGGCGTCCAAATGTTGCTGCTGTGGGTTGAAGGCAGTGGGCACAGAGACTGGGTGCAGGCGGTTGCTGTCAGGGTAATTGGTGTAGCAGTTATGAGAGGTTGTTCGACCACATCTCATTCAGCCCACTGAAGGTGACAGCAAAAGCCCGCGCTCAGTTATCGTGCCCACTGCCTTTGAGCGAGCATGACCTCATCGCCATAACACGTGGAAATACTTGATATCGCTGCGTACTAGCTGCTGCATGATCACACTGCACGAAGTTACGCTGTCCCTTATTGAAATGCACATGCAGCCCTCCATTGTAGTAATCCTGCTTGTGATAGACCGATTACGAAAAGGTGTACTTATGGAGGCGCTGTAGCTCTCCCTTCGCAGGAATTGTATGTGATTGGTGGAACAGATGGTGAAAATCACTACAGTACCGTGATGAAAATGAATATGCGTGGTGAATGGAAAGAAGTCGCACCAATGTTCGAGACCAGGTACTTTACTATGATTCTTTGAGTTTCTCTGCGCATGTCTGACATGCAGGAGAGCAGACCCCATGTTTAAAGGCAGTTGGCACGATAAATCCCAAGACGACTAGGATCAATACGCCTGGCAGGACGGAATTCCGCGACCCTGAGCAGGCGCTGCATAGCGGCTTCTCCGAGGAAGGTGCCCTTATAAGGGCCCTATCAAGCCACAACTTACCGTCCCAAACGCCCGCCCGCCCACAAATGGACGACCGTTCCTGACGCTCGTATTCATTCATTTGCTAAGCAAATTATGAAGCGAAGGGATTGGTATGAAGCGGCCGTGATGCTGCATGCATATATGGGTACACATATGCAGCCGTATCTTCGGTAGCGGCAAGATGCCACGGGAAACTCGTCCGAAATCGATTTCCAAGTCACTGAGAACGGAAGCTTTCATAGCGCCCTACGAGCATTCTAGGCCGAGTAGGAAATCATCGTGCCAACTACCTTTAAGGTTAATATGTCTGCAGTAGCGTGCCATTCCATTCAGCAAAAGATGGTGCCCGAAAGCATTGATACTCGGGTGCCGTCGCCCGACTCCGCGCGCGTCAGTGGGCAGCCATTGTGTCGATAACATGATCTCGCAGCAAAACACGCACGTTCAAGTAGAGAACAACTAGAAATGTGAGGCCGCAGACAAGTAGCGCGGACAGCCATTGCTAGGCGTGTGGGTAGCCGTGCGGCGGAGTCGGTGAACGACGCCCGAACATCATTATGCTGCAATCCCGTTCCCGTAAACTTTTGAACAGAGAGAGTGGCACGCCAGTGCAGCAGCTTCAGAAGGCATACACGTTCAATGAGT